TTATTTTGTGTTCCTAGTTTTGTTTTATTAGGATGTTGCGGGGTCTGTCTCAACATCTATCTCAGTGTTATAGAGGCTTAATAGACAGTCAGTCAGTTGGTATTGAGTCTCTCATCTATGTATATATGTAAATATTCTATTTTGAGACACGAGTTGCCTTTTGGCATGTTATGCATCAGTTAAGTTGTTTTATAACATTGCATCGCATTGAGTTATTCTGTTGAGTTAGGTTTCCGCTGAGTAAAGAAAGTCAAGCCAAGGGTTTGCTTGGGGCCAGCAATGGTCTCTGGGTTCCGGTCCCGCCCATGGCGTGACAAATATATTATCTATCAACAATACCTGTACTGGCTCCACTGGTATGAACTTATGTTTCAAACCTCCAATTATGTGGCAACCACTTCGACCTATCTAGATTCACCAAAGGCATATGCGTAATCTTCTTTTGAATCTGCAACTTACTCAGAGTTATATCAGACATCTTCTCTTCATTAGGTACATCACCTTTGTTTTGTGTGGTGTTCTCTGCCCTAACATCCAACACAACATCAATGTAGGTTCCCGATGGCAACAAAAGGGTCCAAATGTATACCATTATTGCAGAAGTCATCGGTGGTAACAATTATCGGTGGGAAGGAAGAGAAAGAGAAGTCGGCCTTAGTCATCGGAGGAATCTTTGAATGAGTCAATGTGGAGAAAAAGTCCTTGGAATAATGGAAAAAAATTCCATTATAATTTTTTCAAAATAATGAACTTTTTCTCCACATTGACTCTTTCAAAGCTTCCTCTAATGACTAAGGCCGACTTAGCTATCTCTTCCATCCCATGGATAATTGTTACCAGCGACGATTTCTGCAATGATGGTATGCCTTCAGACCTATTGTTTCCGTCGGGAACCTACATTGATGTTGAGTTGGATGTTAGGGTAGAGACCACCACACCAAACGAAGGTGATATATCTATTGAAGGAAAGGTGTCCGATGTAATTCTGAGTAAGTTGCAGATTCAGAGGAAGATTATGCCTATATGTCGGGTGAAACTAGATAGGCCAAAGTGGTTGCTAGAGAATTGGAGGTTTGAAACAAAAGTTTCTATCACTGGAGCCACTGCAGGAATTTTTGATAGATACTATATTGAAACGGTGTCCAGTGATAAATTTAGGTCAAAGAACGAGGTGGATTATTTCATTAAAATAGGTGGCAAGCACAAGACAGCAAAAAAAAACATTAAATATGATGTTGCTACACCATCTGAGGAAAAAAAGAAGAAGAAGAGAGGCTTGAAAAGGAAAAAAAAACAAAACTAGTTCTTTTAACATATATTTTGTGACTCCTCCATAGAGCATGTGTTGGGTTATTATGGATAGTTGTGCAGATACTTGGGTACCTTCTTGTAATGGTAACATGGTTCTGGAGACCATAACAGGAATGGGATGTTGTCTTCTCAGAGTACATCACATTTCTGGTGGAGGAACACAAATAACTAGACTAGATAGTGTGATCATTTTGGTACTTTGTGTTTTAATCATTTTATTTTTTTGGTTTTGGTTTTATGTACTTAGTTTGTGTTATTAAAAGGAGGTCTGCTAAGTATATACATACATATATATATATATATGCTATTTATAGGCTCCAGTTTTAATTTGTTCGAGTTGAGAGGATAATTTTGTAGAGAGTCTCCTCTATTTTAGGGAATCACAACAAAATGTTTTACTGGAACCTGAGTTAAACTAGGATCTCACTCCCAATATTAATTATCACCACATTTCTTTACCATAAGTAGGTGAATAAATGAAAGATAAATAGTGACCGACAAAAAAAGAAGAAAAAAATTAAGGGTAGGGAATTATAATATGAGGAATTGAATCCTTACCAATACGGTGAAAGTTTAGATCCACAACATGTACTTCTTAAGAATTTTTAGAAGTTTAAGCCAAAATAGTGGCATGTATAATTTGAAGAAATGTTCCTGATTGATTGATGTATGGACCTGAAAATTAAATTGAGGATATTCTGAAAAAGCCCAAGATAAAAGAAGAAGAGGAAGATTCATAATTCACACTTCTAAAAAAATAAATAAATAGGATTACACATGTGACTTTCAATTAATTTGACTTTTGTTCAGAAATCAAACTCAAAATAACAACATTAAATAATGAAAATAAGAGAGACAAAATAGGATAACTTTTTTCTTTGGACAAATATCATATACAAGGCTTTGAACTTGGTCTTACTTTTTAATTAGACACTTAAACTCTAGTTTGTTCTATTTATATAGAGTGGGGAGCCTAAATAATAGTCAAAAACTAAAAGTTGACTAAAATAATGAGTTGAAATAAAGTTTTTAAGCTCTACGTATTAGTGAACTATATCACTTTCATAAATGGTCAAACCCTAATGATCGTTAATGCCTATGCATTTTTATAAGGGAAAATTACGTTGATAAACAAACATATACTAGTGAATTAGTTAACATAATTATAGTTCAGTTAAATTACCATTCACCACTAACTTACAACCATAATTATGTGGCTCACGTCCAAAATTTGTATAATTTGGCTCCTAATTGCATATATTTAGAATTTGTATAATTCGATTCACAATTGTACAAATATAGAATTTTCCTGATTTTATAGATCCAAAATTTTATATGTTTACCCTAGCTTGTCTAAAATTATCTTGTTGTAACACATGATTTGTATAAAATTTTGAAAAATTCCTAAATTTATAAAAAGAAAATGTGTATATACTTACCCTGTTTGTATATTGGCAAGCGAATTATACAAACGGAAATATCTTGATGGAGTGAAAATGTTCTACATTGTCATTGTATAAAACCTAAAAAGTTGATGTAGTTACCTGTAAGAATTGAAAACCCCCTCTGTTAAAGAATTGTCAATAAGTTTCTTCTTTAGTACTAACCGGAGATTAATTGGCAAAGTGGATACTCCCAAAACTTAATTTGAGAAATAGCAACTTGATTTTTTTTTAAATTTATTTTTTAGGTTTAGGGTTAGAAAAAGTGAAAAAGTGGGGTGGGGTTGTAGGGTCATGGACCTTTTCATCAGTTTAAGAACTTGGGGTATAAAAATACAAGTTTATGAAATATCATTTTCATCCCAACACTTCAACATTAAATAAATTCATCCCTCAAAAATTTTAGATTACAATTCCAAGGAATATAAAAAAATATTTAATAATCTTGTGTAAATATTTTTCGAGGAAACCTCTGAACATTCTCAGAGAACTCTTCGTTTTTCATAAACCTACTTTCTCGAAATCATCAACCTCCATAAAACTGACCATTGTTCAACAAAACTTCCATCTTCCATTATTGAAAACATAGAGAAAAGTGAGACCCTATAATCGTTCTTGAAAAACGAAGTGGAGTGTATCTTTTTTTCATCAATCTTCTTTTCTAAGTTCAGTTGAATCTTTTTCAACCTTCTTCCCCAAGTTCAGTTGGATCTTTTTCCATCTTCTTCCTCTCAAGTAAGTTAATCGTGTTTTCAATAAATTTTAGCCTATTTGATTTTTTTATCGCGATAGTGTAGTGAAGTTTAGATTTTTGCTTAAAGTTCTGAAAATCTCATCCGTTTTAATTTCATGATTTTTATTCGGAATCATTATTGACATTTTTCTTTGGATAATGTATATAATATTTTGAATTTTTATGTTTATCTGGCCTATCAAATTGAAAATTTTTAGTGTATTTTGGTCGACTTTAATGGTGTTTATGTCAATGGCATTACCGAGTTTTGTTGGAACTGCTACTTTTTTTGCATATTTTTTTTAGCATTACTCTGTTTGGGTTAATAGACTAGTAATAGATATTTTGATATGAAAATTATGTTTTTGTATATAGTACAGTATGACTAAAACTAGAGGCGATATCGTTAAACTGTCTGTTCCTAAGGCTTCTAAAAATAAGAAACGTAATGCTGAAGAAGTTTCTAGATCTTCAAAAAAGAAAAAAATTGTAGTTGAAGAACCTAAGTCTAACTCGGATTCTGATACAATGACTGAGATTGACAACTATGAGGACAGTAGTGCCCATGCTAGTGATGATGTTTAATCTTGTGAATAAAAAACTGACAAGACAGTAGTGCCCATGCTAGTGATGATGTTTAATCTTGTGAATAAACAACTGACAGTGAAGATGAGAAGAGTAGTAGAGATACTCGAGATACTGGAGATGAGGATGATGATCCCATGTCCTTGCAAATTTGTGCAAGAAAAATCTCTAGTAAGTCATATAACAACATGGATGGATGAGTTAGGATCCTTTCTAGTGAAAATTTATGTGAGAGCAAGGATGGTTGTTTATTGTGATTTTAGAAAACTTTTAGTTCAAGAAAAAAATTGTAATGACTTTAAAAGGTACTTATTTTGGACACTTGAGGCATATTCTAGAACATTTCAAATTCAATGGACAGATTGTCCATTATATGTTGTTGTGACGTGTGAAAAATGATTAAAAAAATTACACGAGATATGGTTATGTGGGAATCATAAGCCTGCTTGTTTTGGCTTAAGAGAATTTGCATTGATTACGGGACTGAATTGCTCGTTATACCCCTGTCACGCCCTGAGCCTACACCTTGGGTGGGACTGGCACTCGAGAAACATTATTGTCCCCAAGCGAACCCTTGGCCTGACTTAACTCTTAGCGGAAGACTTACTCATGATAACAATACTTTAAAAAGTAAACTGAAATCTCAATAGATAACTTAGAATGTATAAAGAAACATTCACTAGCCAAAATGACACTCAAGTCTCAAACATCAAAACAGGAATGGAAAGACTCAACAACTAACATCAACTAAGTGTCTATGAAGCCTCTAACAACTGAGATGGACGTTGGGACAAGACCCATGATCACCTAATGAACTAAAATGATAAAGTAATAAAAAGGGCTCCTCCTGAAGCAAGGAGACTAGAATCAACGATGCGCTGGATGCTAATCCTGGTCCTAGTTACCTCTATCTGCATCATAAAATTATACAGGCGAAATGGCATCATTACATTGAATGTACGAGCATGCGAGGGGAAATTCTAAAACAAGACATAAGCTTGAAAGGAACTGAAAGAACATACTTGGGCTCAACTTAACTCATTTCAATATAAATGCAATATAAAGAAAAGTTGTTAAAACATGGATAACAACTATGTGTATTTAGAAATACAATACTAACTCTGTATGTATGCAAAGATGCAATATAAACTCTGGATGTATATAAAAATTCAATTAACTCTGTGTATATATGAAATAAAAAATACTTCTGTGGGAGTTTCTCTAACGGATAACCGTCACTTTAGAGCTATGTGATGATACAACATTTTGTCTCACGCTGCCAGGGCCGTCCTATACCTTGCCAAGGGCATAAAACCTAACTACTAAGTGGATCCACTAATTTATGCTAAAAATCACTAAGGAATCATCTAAAAAGTATGATCCTTTTTCAACCCATGATGGCTACATGGTTTATGGGGGCAGGGAGTTGTCTGAACTCTCCCCCATATCGGTGCTCAATACTACTCCCAAAAGAAAATAGCTCTGATACTAAGGTTTTGGGGGGGGGGGGATCCGCTTCTTATAGGTAAATTCTTTCATAACACTATTTTTCTAAAGGTATTAACCTATAATTTCTTTACATTTTCCAATATGTATTCTATGTTTTGTATGTCGTGGGTTTGTTGGAATGCATCTATATTTTCTTTTATTAGATTACCTAACAAAGTAATATCTGTTATAGTTTGTTGCCAATATTCTAAATCTGATTTATTAATTCTTCCTCTTCTTCTTCGAATATCTTTTCCCATATTATTCGTTTTAGTTCTATGATGTCTATGTCCTTTAATATATATAAGATTAGTGTTTTATATGCTAATATCATTTCATCATGTAAGGAAATATTCATGATTATTTGATCATAATTCCCTTATACCATATGCATAACAAATGATCTATATTAGATTACTATAAACTAGATTATTTTAACATGTTTTCCGGTCACTGTTAACA